CTTCTTAAAGGTAAAGATGTTTGTGTGTAATACTTGATGAAGAGACTTTTGTTTCTTTGTTTTAATGTGTTAGAAATATGTGTTTACAATCTGGTCTCATGATCACCAATGAAATAGTAACTTTCAGGTTTACATCAATATGAGCTGACTTTTACTGAGTTGTTTTGGGTTAGGGAAGAAGCAAGCTCACTAAATATACACTACTGCTTACCAGCTCAATGAGAGGAATTGTGCTTTATAAAAATATCATCTCCCTTAAGCAGTGTTAAAGTTTATTTTCAGTATGCAAGTGGTACATTGAACTGGAAATTTCTTGAAAGAGCTTCTTTTATTAGGAAGCAAGTTTTGAATTGTAGCAAATTAAATTTATATTTTCCCTTCTTTTAAAGAAACTGAGTCATTATGCACTGATGTTTCTTAAAATAACTAAAATTATCTTCATAATGTGAATTTTAAATGTTGATATTTGTAAATCCTTTCTTAATAGAAGTAAAGAATCTTCCAGAAGGAAATGTTTGTGCTTCTAGGGACAATACTCTTCCTTGTGCCTCACTTCATCCCTAAGTGGGTATGACTCTGATTATTACCACATGCTTTGTTAGTATATTTCACAAATTTACTTTAAAAAATTATTTTAGATATTATATAACATGTGCAATCCAGAATAATTTTATAATCACCACATCATAATAGCATAAATTTAGTTAGGATTCACAATATTCTCCAAAAATGAGGGAATGAGATGAACCTTTTGGAGATACTGATATTAAGCAATTATTTTTTGCAATATTGAATGTGTTTTTTAGTTTAGTTGGTTTTTTTTTTTTTCCTTTCGCTGCAGGACACAACCTGCTTTCCCATCTTGTATTACCTTTGATGTAAAGCAACTAATATTTACACTATGCCATATTTTTTTTATTGTAGTTGTAAATTATGAAAGATCTTGAATTTTCTACAGATCTACAACTACTAAAGTAACAGACAAGGGCAATCTTGGTATTTAAATCTGAGCATGGCAGTCCTACCATAAAAAGTACTCTATTTTTCTAATTTCTAGAATTTTTTAAATAACATTTCTGTAAGTCTGACATTAATATTCACTCAAACAGTACCATTTATTTTAGTTTGCATATATTTCATTGTTTTAATTTAATTAAATGTATTGAGTCTAATAGACTGTTTTACAATAATTAGAATAAAAGATTTATTTCTTCTAATCAAAGATGCATAACAGCTGTTATCTAGGGGACCACCAAATGTGATTTCAAGATTTTGTTAACTATTACAATTATAATCCTTATATAGAAATTTTAATTTTGTAAAGTAGTGTATAATATTGTAACATTAAAATCTTGTTCTCAAATTCAAATACGTATTGATCTTCAATGTGCTGTGTTCAATCTTGCTTCTCTGAAATGTTAGAAACAAGATTTGTCTTCCTTTTTATAGTTTGTAATTTTCACTGTTTTATTCCTGTTAAAAAAAAAAAAACCTCATTTGTAACCCCTGCAAATAATCATTTGAACTGTGCTAACTTATCAATTTGGCTATTCAATAAAAGTTCATTGAAGGAACTTACACATAGTGACTTATTAAAAGTGATATGAAGGGGCCTCCCTGGTGGCGCAGCGGTTGAGCGCTGGGTTGCAAAGCTGCCCGCGGCCTCTGCGGCGCCGGTTCGATCCCCGGCTGCTCCCCGGCCACTGGAGGAGGGTCCCACATGGCGCGCAGACCTCTCCTGCCGCCCGCTGCTCCCCTCAGCAGTGTACTTTGGTCCTTCTGCCTGCTCTGCTCCCTGCTCTGGCTCTGGTGAATTCTCTCACCCTCCCGCGCTTCCGACTGTACCCAGTGCATGCATAAACAAAACAAACAAATAAATAAATAAAACATGCCTCTATTAAAAAAAAAATAAAAATAAAAGTGATATGAGGGGCCTCCCTGGTGTCCTAGGCTTAAGACTCAGCACTATCACCACTAAGGCCTGGGTTCGATCCCAGGCCAGGGAGCTAACCCACGGATGGTGCAGCATACCTCTCCTGTCTTGCTCACTGCTCCCCTTAGTCCTGTATTTCAGTCAGTCTGCCTGTTCTGCTCCCTGTGCTGTACCTGGTGAGTCCTTTCACTCCCTGTGTTTCTGGCATACACCCTAGTTCTTCTATGCAAAAATTAAAAAATAAAAGTGATATGAATAACTTTCCAGTCAGGCCTCCCTGGTGGCACAAGGGGTTAAGCCTCAGCACTGTAAGGCAATCTGCAGCTACTGCAGGAAGAGTTTGATCCCCAGCCAGGGAGCTACCCACATGGCGCAGCAGAACTCTCCTGGCTTGCCTGCTACTCCCCTCAGAAGTGTATTTCAGACAACCTGCCTGTTCTGCTCTCCACTCTGTCTCTGGTGAATCCTCTCACCCCTTCCGCACCTCTGGCCTGTACCCCAATTCTTGTATGCATAAATAAATATATCTAGTAAGAAAAAACCTTGAATAAGTTGCCAGTCACTGAGTAAGTAGTGCTATGTTGTACACCCAATTTGATGGAAACTATGCTGAAGGTGCCTTAACTCTTAAGTTGGTGTCTGGGTGGCAGAATTCTTGCTTATTCCTCAAGGATAGCTGGGTTTAAAATTCCATATTGAAAATTAAAATTAAAATTCTTATATATTTGAGATACTGTATTGTCTTTTGGACACTTTTGTTATTGATTCCTCCTGTTAGTCTAATTGTTCATTTGAAGATAGTTTGTTAGCTTTCAGTATTATTTGTGTTTCTTAATATTCTATAGTTTTACTATAATTTATTGTTTCAGAATATGATTATGATGTTTATTTTTCAGAGTACACATATCCAAAGGTCCTTATCTGTCTACAATTTGGGAAACTTCTTGGCTGTGTTTTTTTTATTTAATTGAGTGACATAAAAAGGTGTTTTAAATATTTCTTTGTCATTCCATCTTATATTTTACCTTCAGGATTCCTATTAGAGGGATTTCATTAATTCCTCTTTTGACTATGTCTACATTGAGTTTAATTTCATCTATTGACTATTATATTTGCATAACCACATTTTTCATTTCCAAGGCTGATTTTTTAAATATTTGTCTATTTTTCATTTCTGCCTGTTTTGTGTAAAGAATATTTAAAGTATTATATAATTCTTTCTGGAGTGAATTCAACTGCCAATTTTTAATGTGATATTGGCAGAATTTAAATAGATTTCTTCATGTTTTTAGTATTTAGGCTGTAGGCTTATTTGATTGGGAGGGTCTTTATCATTTTAGCTCATTTGTCTCTGCCCAGCTTTCCTCCTCCTATCTGTGGATTTTTTAGTTGCATTTTCTGTACCCCCAAACCAGGGCTGATAGAGTTGGTTTAGAGCGCCTGTCCTTGAGGTAATTTTGGGAAATCACCATTCCATTCATCAACGATGGGGAATCTTGTTGCCCTTTCTTCTGCCTCCTCTGTAAAGCTGAAGTTTAAGGCTATATGGGTCAATAGCAAGTGATAGTTTGATTGTTTTTGCAGTGAGAGTTAACATGAAGGAAGAGTTTGGTTTGTTTGTCTCTGTCCATCATGTGATGTGCTTGCTGTGTGTCCTAACCCATAGAATGTACTTACTGCCTGCTTCTGGACCTGCAGCCCAACAGGCACCTAACTTTATCTCCAATGCTTTGTCTTTCTGATACTTTGATCTGCTGAGATATTTCTTTTAAAGAAAGAAATTATCAGCTAATTCTTTCTCTCCCTTTATATTTTTAACTTATTGGTGTGATAGAGAGAAGTCCAAGCATCAGCTTACTGCCTAAAGTTAAGCAGAAAGTGATTTAGTTTTAGCACAGATAATGTGTCCAGCTTTGTATTTTAAATCGACCAAATAGTGCTATTTGCCTGCATAAATAAAGCTAAGATCTAATAAAAGTTACACATATAACTTGCTGAAAGTTCTGATACTTTCTCTAAAGAAAAATTTTTGCAAATATTCAGGTAAATTTAAAACTTGTGCTCTTATCTGTTATACTTGGGGAAAAGTGGTCAATTGAAAGAAAATGAATGGGACTTGCCCTTGTAAATCATAGTGAAGGAGATAGAAATTAATCAAGAATCTTAAGTATGCATGTCATTTATCAATCACATCTATCCTTGAGAACTACTAAGATAAACTAAAGCAATCCCAATGGTTTCCCAGAAATAAGCATGTAATGCATAATTTGACTTTCCATTTTTAACTGACTAAATGAACTACCAAGATATCTATTTTTTTAAAAAATCAAGATTTTTCACTTGTCTTCCATAAACTCTCAAATAAAAAAAAAGCACAAAAAACGTTGTTTATCCTGGAATTGATTGATAAACCTTGTTTATCCTGGTCATGATTCGTCTGGACTATACCTCATCAAGTTGTGTACATTTATTACTATTACAATTGTAGCTTTTTTTTTTTTTAAGGGCACTGTCTGGTGCTTATAAATTTAGGTCAGTACAGATAGGCAGGGGAGCTTATTCTAACGTTTCAGAAAAAGTCAATAAATTAGGATGCAAGTCGATTATATAAGTGATGATAAACATGTAAGGAGACTAGAGAGTGTTGGGAAGCTGACAATTTAAATATAACGAAGGAGTCTTCACTGTCTTCAACAAAGGAATGAGGAAAAAGGCTGAGGAGAAACCAGACGTGTATTTGGGAGAAAAGGATTGAAGGTGAGTAATGAGTCCCAAGAACAAATCAGAAACACACTACTCCCTAAAGCGTCGCTGCCGGAGTTACGTATTCCCTCGGCCTATAAGCGAGGCCACGGAAGTGTAGTAGAAACAAGGCAGTGTCGCTATAAGCACCATTTTACTTCCTGGCACTGGTGCGGGATGAGTCCACTCCTTCCATGTCCGCCGCGGGAGGAGGATTGGGGCAACGCTCTTTGCCCTTACCAAAGATGGCGGCTCCGGCATCGCTCTTGGTTTCGTCAGCGGCGCGCGTGCTTAGCGCCGGCCTCCTACTCCGTGGGCGGGTCTACGGCGAGAAGGCGACGCGCGCTCTGCGGCCGGCTCTGAAGAGTCATCCGCGCACCCTCTCCCGCCGTCTGCACCTCCATCACCGCTCCCCGACTGTAGAGAAGATGGAGCCGGTGACCGTTGCAGCAGAAAACGGGGACCGGTCAGGGGCCCCGGCGGGCTCAGGACTGTCCGCTTCCCAGCGTCGGGCCGAGCTGCGGCGGCGAAAACTGCTCATGAACTCGGAACAGCGCATCAACCGGATCATGGGCTTTCACAGGCCTGGGAGCAGCGCGGGTGAGAATCTCGCCTTCCCCTCACTCCCGCTCAGGTCTCATGCAGGATCACGCCTCCTTTCCCTGTCCACCCCGCTGACCTTTTTGATCCGGCCCCTCTCCCGGACCACCCCCTCGCTGCTGCTGAGGTGCCGTCCCAAGTTTTCACTCCTTAAGCCCCGGGCGTGCCTACTCGCTGCCCTGGATTTACTAGGTGTTTCCCTTGAAGTTGTCCCCACCCCTCGTTCCTGAGTTCCTTTGCCGTGCTGCCCTCCATCCAGTCACCCCGAGACAGCCCCTCTTCTTTCCCCACGCCTTAGCCTCTCATGAAGGACTCACATTTTATCCCAAGACTGCTCTGCCTTTTGTGGCCCTCGGGAAGATTGCTTCCTTTCAGTCCCTGACAAATGCATTCCATTCCTTGGCCTTCCCTAGCATTCACCTTCTTTTGCCTTGCTCGAATTCAGTCGGCCACCTGAGCTTGTCTTTACCCGAACTGCCCTGTCTTTCTTCCTGCGTGGATCAGGGAGTCTTACGGTCATATCCTGGTGTCTGTGTCCTCAATGTTGTCATCCACAAGCCTTTTAGAAGAGATGGGGGGGGAAAAAAAAGGAATCAATATTGTTTAGCCCCAACAAGTGGGAAGTGCTCACCTGAGGGGTTCTCCCCTGGTGTGCCGAGATTGATATCAGAAACTGCATTTAACCCTAAAAGGAGTTCCTCATTTCTTCCCCTAGTGACTTGTACCATGAGTTTCTTAAAAGTTTTTTCTTTGTCGTGTGAATGTATTGAACACCCAGAATGTGTTAGTGACCTATCTTTCCATTGAATGTTTCCTTTACTAATTTGGCTCTAGCTGCGGGTTGCAAACTACTTAGGCTTTGTGATATTTATTCTCTAGGGCTCTAGTTTTTATCTCTGAACTTTCAGACCGTTCACAGGTTTGCAGCTGAAAAATGTGAAGAGAGGTAAGAGTATTATGTCAGTTCTCCAAGAACAATAGTTAAAAGACACATTTTTTCCCTAGAATGATTAATAATAACACGTTATTGTTTTTTTCAAAGCATTTGTTATTGTCCTTGAGATGCTTCTGTTTTGTTGTTGTGCTCTGAAAATTTTATCCATCAGTTGCCATCAGTAGAGTTTCTTGGTCTTTTGTTTAAAACCAGAACAGCATTCTGAAACTGCTTGTACCTCCTAATGGCTCCCTGACTCCAGTAGCAGGATTATGTAAACAGTAGCTGGAGGATATGCCACACCCTGTGCTGACTGGGTTCTGGGTGCAGGAATCTAAAAATACAGATTTTAAAACGTTTTCATAATTTAATATTTTGAACAAAGCAAGTTAGAGCAGGGATAAATAAAATCATACTTCCAGGATATATTATCTGTGAAAACTTGGTCTTTATATTGCTCCCTCCCTGACTGTCCTTCCTATGTTGTCTACTTGGCTTATCTACCCCCAATATTTGGGTTAAATACTCTGCAGGAATCATCTTTTTGAGCGATATATTTTGAGGGTGTAGCAGAAGGAGGTAGTTTAGTTTTTATGTCTAATCAGTATTAATTTAGATTCAGAGACTGCTGAGTTCTAACTGCAGCAGCATATTTTTTAATATTAGGATGAAAGCTATTTTGCCAGTATATAATACACAAGGCTTTTACATTTTTCTTCCCAGAAGAAGAAAGTCAAATAAATTCAAAGCCACAGGACAGTGATAAACTGAACTCCCTCAACATTCCTTCCGTTTCAAAGCGAGTAGTGCTGGGTGATTCCGTAAGTACGGGAGCAGCTGAGCAGCAGAGTGGTGTGACCGAGGTAAAGGGGACTCAGCTGGGAGACAAATTGGACTCTTTGATGAAGCCCCCTGAGTACGGTGCTGATGAGCTCCGGCAGCGGAACAGAGGGGACCCGACAGCGGACACTGTCCAGAGGGGTCCTCGCCATGGCTTAGAACAGTACCTCTCCAGATTTGAAGAAGCTATGAAGCTAAGGAAACAACTGATTAGTGAAAAACCCAATCAAGAGGATGGAAATACAACAGAAGAATTTGACTCTTTTCGAATATTTAGATTGGTGGGATGTGCTCTTCTTGCCTTTGGAGTCAGAGCTTTTGTTTGCAAATATTTGGTAAGAAACATTGGAAATGCAAATTGGTTATAATGAGTGCTTTTAATCCCTTGACTTCTTTGTCAGTCTTATTATTTACCAGATGGATGTGGCTATTTGGCAGTGTATTATGAACTGATTTACCTTAATTCCAAGAACCTAATTATAGTTGTTAACCTCCCTTTAAATGCCAGGTACCTTTCTGAGTGCTTTTACATTTATTAATTCATGTAATCTTCACCCTTAAGAACTTGATATCATTGATTCTGTGTCTTATAGATGAGGGAATGAAACCTCAGCTTAAATCACTTCTCCAGGTGACAGAAGTTTCATTCAATACACAAGGAATACAAATACAGGTACATACACACATACACTCTCACTGTGTATTACCTACCACTTTAAAATCATTTGAAACATTAAAATGTTGTCCCTGAGGTCCTGAACATGATGTAATTTTTTTCTATAGTTCAGAGACATTTCAGCATTTCATAATGTTGTATTATAATGTCTGTCCATTTTTGTTGTACTGTCAAATGCTAATGGCTGTCCATTGGGATTTAGTTGTCTCTAATGTTATGTGGAAGAATGGAGAAAAGCATAACTTGTAGTTCAGTCCTTGAAGCTCTTTGAGATATTTATATTCAGTGCCCATATTAAGAATGCCCACACATGTGCCAGACACATACAGTTTTCCAGGTAATTAAGATTTATATCAAGCAAAAAATCTATTTTGGAAGTGTAGTTTTTATGCACATCTTTTCTTACAGAGAATATCTTCACAGATTTGATTTTTTTCTAATTGTCTTCAAAGCTTTCAGCATTCAGTGAAGTGGGTTGCTGCTTTTTATGTCAAGTACTCTGTGTTCTTAAAGTTGTGTCCTATTTTTATGCCTCATTTTTGTGTGAGGTGATTTGGTTGTCTGATTTTATTTTTAGGTTTTCAACCGGGTTATTTTTCACTGCTGTTACTATACTTTTATCTAGTCAGCTAGTAATGTTTGTTCCTTTACTCCCTTCGTAGTATTTTTAATTTTAGAAGTAATTATATTAATTAAATGTTTGATCTTTCTTGTTGTATTGTGTGAAAGCAAAAAAATTAGCTATTTAGACTACAGTATGACTAACTCATCTTTTCAGCTAAAGATAAAGCCATGCGAATTAATTCCTTCAAAGTTTGAAAAACGTATGTAGTCTATTTTGAATAGTGGGCCTTTTTTGTGTGCTTTTGAATTGTCACTTTCTTCTAGATGAGAAAGATGTTACTGCATATGAGTATACAACTGTTGCCATTGAATACTTAAAATCATTAGAAGATAAGTTTTTATGAAAAAATATTTTGAGGACATTAGAATTGACTTGAAAAATATATTTTATGATTAGGAAATTAATCCCTTTATTAACCTTTCTTTACCTTTACTAAAATTAAATGCTGTGTTGTAGGTTCTTATGCTTGGAATTTTATAGCTACTCTTAGTTTGATTTATTGTTATTAGTGTGATTATTTTGGAAATGCATAATTTTATCTTTTATCTTCACAGTCCATATTTGCTCCATTTCTTACTTTACAACTTGCGTACATGGGACTATACAAATATTTTCCCAAGGTAAATTACAATTTTTCCTAAATTATGATGATATATTTAGATGAACAACTAGATAACTTCACAACCTTTAAAAAATACAGTCATGTGTGATTGGCCCTTCAGTGCTGAGCATTCTGTTTATGATGAGTTAATTTCTGAAAGTCAGTAGTTAGAAACTTATAGTAGTTAGACATTGCCATAATATTTTAATATTTATAAAAATACTGGTCCACAGTTGAGTAACTCACTCCAGAGTTTGAATAGTGCTAGTATAAGATAATGTTAAGTTTGATTACTTAGTAAATTTAGTAACACATTTGTTTGTAATAAAGGAAATAGATTTTTTTTGAGTTTTTTTTTTTAAGATTTACTGATTTATTTTATGCATAGAACTGGGGTGTAGGCCATAGGTGTGGGGGGGTGAAAGGATTCACTGGAGACAGAGTGGGGAGCAGAACAGGCACATTGACAGAAATACACTGCTGAGGGGAGCAGCGAGCGAGACAGGAGAGGTCTGCTGTGGTGATAAGCTCTGAGACTTATGTCACCTGGGAGGTCCGGAAATAGATTTTTTTAAAAATGGGTTCCATTATCTTTGCTCCTTCCGGGACATTTAATGACAAAGCACTTTAATGTTGAGAATCTGATGTTTTCCAGAAATATTTGGGCAGAATAGCAGAAGAACCCTGGGGATTATCAGTATGTCCCTGTTCTGCTTGATTGCAGATGTATACAAGGTTTTATGAGAGTTGGCTTGGTTAGCAAAAAAGATAATGTTGCTTGTGATTGAGTTTTGTGTGCGTTTTTTTGCTGAGAAATGACCACTTGGCTGTTTGCTTTGTCATTTGTAATGCACCGAACTCATGTACTTTTAATGGATATGAAACATTTATTTATTTGTTCATTTATTTATTTCCCCCCTCCCACCCTGAAGCATTTATATATTTTTGAGCAGTCAAATAGATTAAATATAGAAAGTAAAAGGATAGGGCCTCTCTGGTGGCACAGGGGTTAAAGACACAGTGCTGCCAAGCCATCACCAGCCACTGCAGCATGAGTTCGAGCCCTGGCTGCCAGGGAGCTACCCACATGGTGCAGCAGACCTCCCTTGTCTAGCCCAATGTTCCCCTCAGCAGTGTATTTCAGTAGATCTGCCTGTTTTACTCTCTACTCTGTCTCTGGTGAATCCTTTCACCTCCCTGCATCACTGGCCTACACCTCAGTTCTTGTATGCATTAAAGAAAAAAATCTTAAAAAATTGTGACATATTCATTCAGAGTGATGAAACACTCCATGTGCTGATAATGGTAAGCTTGCCAAGAAGATGAAGACAACAAACCAAAATACACAAAAGGGTTTATTTTACCTACTTTTTTTTTTTGGTAAAAAGGAGGAAAGCAATTTTTTTGGCTTTGCTTGTATATGTGTGATGAAACTGGAGAGATATACCTGAAGTTATAAACAATGTGTTTAGATAGGGTGTGTATAGGTTTCTAGGTAAATGGGGAAGAGGAAAGAAAGGAAGACTACTGTATCCTTTTCTCGCAAAACATTTTGAGTAAGTTTTTAAGCACATAGCAGTGTTGAAAGAATTGTGCAGTAAACATCCACTTATACTTACCACCTAGATTTTTTTTTTAAAGATTTATTTATTTATACAAGAATTGGTGTACAGTCAGAGATGCAGGAGGGTGAGAGAATTCAGAGACAGAGTGGGGAGCAGAACAGGCAGACTGACTGAAATACACTGCTGAGGGGAGCAGTGGGTGCGGCAGGAGAGGTCTGCTGCGCCATGTGTGATTCTCACTAGCCGGCCAGGATCGAACTCGCGCTGCAGAGGCTGCGGACAGCTTCATGGCACGGCGCTCAACCCGCTGCACCAACGGGGAGGCCATGCCACCTAGATTTTGTAATTAGCATTTCATTGTATTTTTTATATATCCAGTTTTCTGTCACTTTTCAATACATCTTCATTTTCTTGATGCACTTCAAAGTATGTTATATATGTAGATATCAGTATACTTCTACACCCTTCAGGTTACATATCTTTAAGTATAATTCATTTTTGCTTATGTCGTTTTTCTTTTTCTTTTTTTTTAAAGATTTATTTATTTATATAAGTACTGGGTACAGTCAAAAGCACGGGAGGGTAAGAGAATTTTCAAGAGCCAGAGCAGGGAGCAGAACAGGCAGAAGGACCAAAACACACTGCTGAGGGGAGCAGCAGGCGCGGCAGGAGAGGTCTGTGTGCCATGTGACTCTATAGAAAATGCTTGTGATTCTGGCACAAATAGCTCACTCTTCTTCAGGATACCTAGCATTCTTCTGAATTTTGTTTTCACTTTTCACATCTACCCATCTAAATCCTCCTTTTTTTTTTTTTTTAAAGATTTATTTATTTATTTATCTACACAAGCACTGGGTACAGTCAGAAGCACAGGGGGCGGGGTGAGAGAATTCACCAGAGCCAGAGCGGAGAGCAGTACAGGCAGACTGACAAAACACTGCTGAGGGGAGCAGCGGGCCAGCAAGAGAGGTCTGCGCACCATGTGGGACCCTTGCCAGGTGGCTGGGGATCAAACCGGCACTGCAGAGGCTGCGGGCAGTTTTGCAACTCAGCGCTTAACCGCTGCGCCACCGGGGAGGCCCTAAATCCTCCACATTTTTAAAGACATGTTTTAAATTTCACATCCCCTCTGAAGCCCTTCTGGTGCTTTATGAATAAAATCCTGGAGCAGTTTCTTGTCTCCTTTAAACCCTCATGCCACACATTATCTGCATTATTCATTTAGCATTTATTTATGTCCTGTCCAGTGATATTTTTTTGTTTTTGTCTTGTGCTGTAGTTTTGTCTTAAATTGTTAATTATTTCTTGCTTCTAGAGAAAACCTTGTTTTTTATAGCAAGAATGGTCTCTTTTCTCTACTCCCTAGCAGCTTGCTGCTTTACATATTATGCTATCAGTCAGTATTCGTTGGTAGGCTATTGACTGATATTTTGAAGCTTCATTTAATACTTTTGAAATCAGGCAAACATAGCCATACTGGTAATGTTTTTATAGAGTTTAGGCAGTTTTTTGTAAGCTCTAAGATTTATTTAAGTCTTTCTCTATACAGGGTGAAAAGAAGATAAAGACAACAGTATTAACAGCAGCACTTCTGCTATCTGGAATTCCTGCTGAGGTGATAAATCGATCCATGGATACCTATAGCAAAATGGGCGAAGTTTTCACAGATCTATGTGTCTACTTTTTCACTTTTATTTTTTGTCATGAACTACTTGATTACTGGGGTTCTGAAGTACCATGAAACCTGCAGAATTCAGAAGGAGAAACTTACAGGAAAACAATTGCTCTTCTGTGTTACAGTGTCCCTAAAGGAGGCAAATAGGTTCATGTGTTTATTTAATACTTTACTTTATAGGAGTTGTAAAACTACTTGATTAGGAATGAAATGGCAGGTTCTCTGATTTAAAAGGTTTGACTTTGTATTAATAGTGATGTGAAGAATAGAGTACTGACGTCGTTAATTGATTTTTCTTGATTAACTAAAAACCCCAGAATACACCTTTTCCAATCTTACCAGATTTGTAATTCCTCTTTTAGCGGCTGAGCTAGTGCTTTCAGGAGAGCAGATGAAATGGTCTCAGATAGCCCCAAGGACTGTATCTTGTATTTGTGTTATGTCCTCAGAAATGGAGCCATTTTAAAAATAAAATGAAAGAAACGAAATTGTCTAATGTTAAGTCTGCACATATTAAGGGCTGAATAAGGTAGCCAATTTGATCTTTTTCTGTTGATTTTAAGTTTTACTTGAGTGCAAATCTTTAATGATTGTGATTCATACATTGTGAAATTAGAAGGTATTTATGAAATCTTTATTTTATTTTAATTTTTTATTTATGAAATTTTTACCAAACTCAGAACTGGATGTTTTCACTTTTGAGTTTTAAATTTTTAGAAGTAGTGCTTTTTAAACAAACTAGAAAAGAATGACTAGCTATAAAAATGGGATTTGAAGAATTGCTTGTGGTATGCTACCCAGTAACATGAATATCCTTTTAAGTAACTTGTTAACACTCATATTTGGGAGCTTTGTCTTAACAGAGTACAAAACATAAGTGTCATATTGCTTGGTATTACATTCCCTTACAGATTTTTGTATGGTCCAATTGGTTAATCCTTGTGATATTAAAAATGTGCTTTTTTTTTATTACTCAAAAAGTCTTGATTTTTTCATTTTATTTTGAACCAGGATAATGAAAAAAGTATCGTTATTTCAGTCTATTTATTCCCTGACTTAAGGTAAGACTACAAACATAGTTTTCCTGATTATATAATGAACCTAGTATATAAAAGTTTGGAAAGCATCTTTCATGGATTTGTTACTCTTCACCCCTAAGAAGACACTAAAGAGTCTTCACATAAACATGTTTACTTCTTAGTGGGGAAAAAAAAGACCCTATTTAGCCAGTTGACACAGGCAGTGTAGATCATTATCTATTTTATAGTTCAAAGATTTGCTTTTTAAAGATTTATTTCTTCATGCATTAAAATAACTGGGTTGTAGGCCAGAGGTGCCGGGGGGTGGGAGAGGGTGAGAGGATTCACCAGATTCAGAGTGGGGAGCAGAACAGGCAGATATACTGAAATTCACTGCTAAGGGGAGCAGCGGGTGAGACAGGAGAGATCTGTTGTGTCGTATGTGGGTTAGTTCCCTGGCCAGGGATTGAACTCAGGTCTTAGGCCACAGTGGGGTGATAGCTCTAAGACTTAACCCCCGTGCTACCAGGAAGGCCCAAAATTCTATGTCCCTTACCTCTCCTATTTCTCTCTTGAACTCCAGACTTATATATCCTGTTAGGTAGCCATTATGTCCTTCTGGATACCTAGTAGGCTTTCATCACACCAAATAGACTTCCATACCCTTTTCATTTTTACAAGTTCACCACAATTCACAGTAGTTCTGTTAAAATCCTGAGTGTCATCTTTATTTCTTGCTTTTCCTTATAGCTCACATCCAGTTTATCAATTACTGTTTATAGCATTGCCTGCAGAACACATCCACTAGTCATTTTTCTATTCCATATAAACTGAAATCTACACTCTTCACCTATGGTGCATTCAGGCACTTTACTGTGATTCTGATACTTGACCATTGGTGTCCATTCTGTTAAACATTTAGTCCAGGTCTTCATTACCCTTGACACGAACTGCCAGACCCCCTAATCTAGTCTAGTGTCCTCACTGCTGCCACAGGTGGGCAATAAACAGCAAGAGACCAGAGTAGTCTTGGAGTTTAAACTCCTTCGTTTCTTTTTTCAATAAATCAAATTTATTGAGGTAAAGTTTTCATGCAGTTAAAACAGCCAATTTCTTTTTTATTATTTAATTCATACATTGTTTTTCATTTTTGCACGATGTATGCATTTTCATTTTGGTTATATTCCCTATACAATTCCCACCCCCCCCCCTTATTTTTACCCTAATCCCTACTGTCCAAACACCCCCCACCCCAGGAATGTGTCTCTGATCTACAGTTGAGTGTTGATTTTGATTTTTTCTTTATTATAATTAGTCTTTTTCCTGGTCCCTTATTTAGGTTTTCCAAATTCCTGCTATGAGTGACAGCATCTGGTATTTTTCTTTTTCTTTCTGGATTATTTGGCTAATCGTGGTCCCTTCCAGCTCCATCCATGTTGCTGCAAATTGCATGAGTTTATCTTTTTGATTGCTGAGTAATATTCCATTGTGTATATGTACCACATCTTCTTGATCCAGTCATCTATTTTTGGGCATTTGGGTTGTTTCCATAGCTTAGCTATTGTAAATAGTGCTGCTATAAACACAGGGGTGCAGGTGCCCTTTTGAATTAATGTTTCTGTGTCCTTTGGGTAAATAACTAGGAGTGGAATTGCTGGATCATATGGAAACTCTATCTTTAGCAGGTTGAGGAATCTCCACACAGCTTTCCATAGTGGTTGGACCATTCTGCACTCCCACCATCAGTGCAGGAGAGTTCCTTTTTCTCCACATCCTTGCCAACATTTGTTGTTGTTTTTTTTTTTAATATGTGCCATTCTCACTGATGTAAGATGGTATCTCATTGTAGTTTTGATTTGCATTTCCCTGATTACAAGTGATGTTGAACATTTTTTCATATGCCTGTTGGCCATTTGCGTTTCCTCTTTGGAGAAGTTTCTTCTTAACTCTTCTGCCCATTTTTTGACTGGATTATTTACTTTGTTTTTGTTGAGTCTCATCAGCTCTTTGTAGATTTTTGTGATCAGACCATTATCATTATTGTTGTGTGCAAAAATTTTCTCCCAATGGTGGGGTTTCTCTTTGTTTTGGTTATTGTCTCTTTTACAAAACAGCCAATTTCAAGTGTACAGTTTGGTGAAGTTTTATAAACCTTTACAACCACTCAGCAGCTACCATAGTGAAGATAGTCATAGAACTTCTCTATTCGCCTTAGATGTAAGAAAGTTAAACAGTGCGGGGACATGTAAAGTACCTTTCAGCTAAAACAACTGTTAAGTGTGTTCCATGAGGGGTGTCATTCTCAACCTTCACTGTACTTCAGAATCTGGGACACAAATCTTTCAAATGCAAAGGAAATACTCCAGATCCAGAATATGACGATCTAACACAAACATCCCCCCTACGCGGCCTTTTTTATTTCATGTGGAGGCAATGTGGAGAACCGTTAAAACATGAATTCACTTGTAGCTCTTTGTAACTTTGACTCAAATCTCATCTTAAAGGTCACTGTCTCAGGGAACTACATGTCTGACCTCCATCTTATGGTGGACACACTTGTATTAAATCCGCTTGTATTTTTAGTAATTTGTACATACCCCCACTAGGTTGTAAAATCCGCTTAACAAATAATATATAAATAAATGACAAATGAATGACAAATCAATAAATGACCGTACAAGTGAATGAGAGTGAGTGGCAATGTTTGTAAGCATCACTTAGCAGGCTAAGGGGACGTCTGTACACGTCCGAGGACAGCTCTGCATTCACTGAGCTCGGTGACCTTCGCAGCGCCTCCCAAGGCTGGGGCCAGGCTGAGCACCCCGCTTCCCAGCCCCGCGGAGCCGCGAATTTCCTGGCGGTGCTGGGAAAACCCGACCAAGGCGGCTGGTGCCGCGCGCCCGACGCCGTGCGGCCTCCAGCCGCGAGGCGGCGCTGTGGAGACAGCAGCTTCCGGCCGGCTCTGCCGCTCCTGCCGCGGGCGCCTCATCCTGTTCTCGTTGGCCGCCTCTGATGGCCGCCGCCGCTGGAGCCGCCGCCGCCGCTTAGAGCCCCGCTCCTCGCCCGGCGACCGAAGGCGGCGCGGTCGCCTCCTTTGTCCAGTTTTCCTGCGCGTCGTAACCGAGTGCCCGCCTTTCCGCGGCCGCAGCATGGGCCGGGAGTCTCGGTGAGGCGGCGGGCGGCGGGCTAGCGGCGTCCTCGGGCGGGGAAGAGGCGGGAGCTGAGTGGCCGCGGGCCGCGCCCGGCCCGGCGCGACCCCACGTGCGGCCCGCGTTGCCCGCGGCCCCTGGGGTCGGGGGGCGCCGCGGCGGCGGGAATGGCTGTTCTGGGGCCGACGATGGGCGCCCAGGGGCCCCCCGCACTGCCCCCCGCTGGTTGGAGCTCCTGGGCGCGAACGCTCGGCCACCACTTTGACGATGGCCCCGCAGCCCGCCACTTCCAGGAAGCCCTCCCTGAATGCCCCAGTAACGAGCCCCGTCGAAGTTCTGACACTTCGCATTTGCAGCATTTCCTTGGCGCCCCGCGCCCTGTGTTTCTGTTCATTGTTCTGTACCTGTGTGGTATTTTCCCAAGTCAGTTGAAAGAAGCTTGGGGACAAACATTTTTACATCACCTACACCCTGACGGTGACTAGGCTTTGCCTGGGCTGTGATTGTTTACTAGACTAGTTAATCATGAAGACTGACTGGGGATTTACTTTGCGAGTAGATTTCATGTTTCTGGGCGGATGCTTTCCATCCTTTTGAAACTGTGGACTGGGAGATCTTGGAACTATGATTTCATCAAAACGTTAGATTGTTTATTGGCTCGGGACCTTGAGATTTTTGACTTGAGTGATTGCCATGCACTTAATAATGACGGAAATCCTATGTATCCAGGGACTGTGAGGCTGGGTTTTTTTTTCCCCCCATGCTCATACACTTTGTTGTTTCCCCTCCAATTAACATGGAGGGGAATGGCCAAAGCTTAAGGGTAGAGCTTGATGAAATTCAGCAAATAGATAAACTGTCTCCTGGATAAAGGTGAATTTCATAACTATAGCAAATTCTTGTGAAAGTAATTTAAATCTCTGCTATTCATCTGGCTACCTAAACCAGAAACTTGCAAGTGATACTTACTTGACTCATTCTTCTGTCTTACTGCCTACATGGTCTTGGATTCTGCACCCTGTCCCCATTCCAGCTCCCCCTGTCTTACTTCAGGCCCTGATCTATTGATCAGACTGCTCTTTGCCTCAAATGGATTATCTTCCTCATCTTGCTTGCCTAAAAGCCCCTTCACACTATGGTCAGGGTGACTCACAATAAAGATAAAGTCATGTATTCCCCTGCTTAGTCCCTGTTGGTGCTTACTGCTCCTAAGACTGTAAGCTACCAAACTCTGAACCCTGAGGATGTCTTGCACAAAGGAGTTTATTATGTGAATAGGTGGCCACGAAGGGAGTCAGCAGGGTTAATACCCTAAAAGTAGAGGCTCCCCTAATGGGGGGTGTGTGTGTGTGTGTGTGTGTTGCTGTAATTGTATAAACAGGAAAGGAATTTAAAGAGTTGCAGGATGTAAGGGGAATAAGGGGCTTTGTCTTTCCGGGTCCTAGGAGGTGCTCCTCACCAAAAGTTAACATTAATCTTCCTCTGCAGAGTGTTCTTTTGGGGTTAACAACCCAGCAGATGCTTGCCCTGGTGTTAGCAGCCTAGAAAGGGCAAGGAGAATTTTGTTAGAGATGTAGCACATTCTGTTTTTGGTATGCAGTTGGAGAATGAATCACCAGGTGATGGAGAGAGAGCGAGAAGGGAGAACAAGGATGGTACTTAGTATTTGATTCTACTTAGTTTTCTAACAAAGTTTTCAACTTTTCTAACAAAGTTTAAGCCACTTTTGGGGTTGTGGGCTCTGACTACAAGGTGAAATTCAGACTCTTTAGCCCAGCCTTCAAGCCCTTCACAGGGAAGTCCCTTACTGCCCTTCATCCTTCTCCTTTATGGACTGTGCTCTTTGTTTGTTGAGGAAATAATGAAAGACTGAGATGGGGAACAACTTTTTAAAAATATAAGAACCCAGTTTACCTACACATGTGGGTTTCATGAGGATTAAAGAGAAGTAGTAGGAAGTAGGTTCTGAAAGGGATTTGGACCAGAATGGGAATGGATTACAGATTTAGTGTTGAAAATAAGAATTTATTTAGGGGCTGCGAATTTATTTGGGAGTCATTGTAGACTTAAGGGAAAAGGGAATTAAAGCAGAACGACCAGGGATCGCCTCAAACGTCCTAAGTAACAGGTCT